CCACCATGGAGGTGGCTCTAGGTAGCCATTAGGCAGAATAATTTGCCCTGTTGATATCAGTTCAGCCTATCTCAATAGATTCCCTAATGCTGTACCAGTGAATTAAGGAAAGAATAGCTATGGTGGTAGCAATAGAGACTTGGCATGCACCTGTCAGGAAGAACTCTTCCATACACTATGAGTGATGTAATCTCTACTTTTTCTAGAATTTTACCTCTCTATAAGAAAAATAAGAGAGTCCTTGTGTTTTGTAGTCCCTTCAAGAGATCAATCAAGTATCTCTTAGCAGAGTGATTGCACTAAATTATTTATACCTTGGAAAGGATATCCAAGGTTATGAAACATACAGTGTGAACTTATGGTTTTGTATATTCAGGTTCTCTCTGTCAAAAAACCAGCAGACAAGAAAGAAAATCACCAGAATGGTAGGAATGAAGTCATCACCAGATATGACCACAGTTATGCAGTAAAATGAGGCAGTAAAACCTTGGCGCCCAGATGATCTGGCATATTTATCAATGCTTCCTGCTCAATTTTACTGTAAATAACAAAGGCAGCAGCCATGGCACAAAAAGGGTATGGTGAGCAGGGAATAGTAACTCTCAATGATAAAAGTCTTTATTATCTCAGCAGATAAGACAAGCTAGAGAATTATTTTAATAATATATCAATCTCATTTTCCACTTTTACCCACGTATTTTCCACTAAAACCCCCAAATCTCATCAAACTTTATTATCCTATGTGATTTTGGTTTGCTTCTTCAGCACTGTTACCATCTAAAAGTTTCCCAAATCTCTTCACTGCTGGAAAATGTGAGCGAAGTAGCCGCGCAGTGCTGTCCCAGGGAAGGGAAATCTAGAACAAACAGCAGAATTGGGGTACGATGAATAATGGTTGTATATGTGAAGCCATCATGGTAGCATAGACAAGTAAGTTTCCCTAGAAATGAAAGTATTCAGTCGTGGGACAAGCACAAATGTGTGTTAAACACTAAACCCTATTACCACTCGTTGGCACAGGTGAAGGGAGGGTTGTACTACAAGCGCAGGCTCACTGCTTATCATCTCCCATGAAGAAGGAATTTTTCCACTGACTGACAGATCCTTGTCCTTGCCTACTCCTTGTGCAGAAATTATCCTCACCCATAAGACCCTGCCCATCCATAATCATGCCTTCTCTAGACTGTAACACATATTTCAATGTCTGGTTCTTGAAAGTGATAAATGGTCCAGTCTTCTTGCCTCATTTCAACATAAGCCCAAAGGATCATCTCAGCTTCAGATCTCCTAGGGATTGCCTGTTTCTCTATTGCAACTGTATTGCAACACAGTTTCTTCTACTATCCATATTTCCCAACTCATTTGCTTGGATTCTCCCAAATGAAACATTTTAATTCAGTTCTTACAAGCATTTTTAAAACATTCAGGTGAATTGAAACCTGCACATACAGCTCAACAATGTAAGGTTTTTCTGGCATAAATGAGTCTTTGTACTCAATCCACAGGACAGAAGGAAAGAAGAAGGTTCTAACACCCTTGTGTTAATAGCCAGCTACCTAGGAAGCTAAAGCAGGCAGCAGATGAAAGCACAAGGGAGATTATATATACTAATCTACCTTCTTCATTAACATACGAATACTATGGGAAAAAACTATGTCTAGAACACAAAAACATCTTTATTCAGAAAAAAATATCAAGAATGAAAACTAGAAATGGAGGCTGAGCAAGGCAAGCCATTCAAAAGATCAACTAAAATAGAAAATATGTTTAAACAACAACTGAGACATATTCTTTGATAGTTGGGTGGTGACAAAATTGTTGATGAAGAAGTCTAACATACAGGGAGTCATTTGTGGTTGTTCTTTTGTGGTAGAAAGGATTAATAATTTTTGCTGTAGAATAACTTAGTCTGACATAATCAGGCAAACCGAACAGGAAGAGGGCAGAGTCTATAATCAGAAAACTTAATAAAGAGCTGTTGTAATAATCAAAGCTGAAAAAACTCAGGAAAACAAGGGAATTGGTGATGAAAATGATGTAATACACTCAGAAAGAATTTTACAATAGAATTTGAGGCAGAAAGAAGTACTCTGTAACATTATGGCTATATATAATCAGTCATCGTTAAATATAATCATATCCCTACCTATAAAGAGTGCGTAGAATAAATAAAGATGGAAACCAACTTCACCCCATACACACTTGTATAACTTACTGCAACATGGATACTTAAATGTCAGCATTGCCACCTCACTGTACTCTCCAGAAGTACTGACTCGAAGAGGCAAGCTTTCATATGTTACCCCAAGATCGAAAGATTGTTTTCTGGAAGCCCCAAAGGCTTGAGCTCTCCAGGGCAAATGCCCTGCTCAGCATTCCCTGAAGTGCACATCTGAGTACCATTAGCAAAGGAAAAATGCATTGTCTCTTGCTCCGTGGGGATATGCAAGTAGAAAGGTCATCGCTAAGGCAGCAGGGACTCCAAATGCCCAGGGACCCCATGCTTGAAATCAACACCTCTTATGAGATATGAAAATAAATAACAGCACACCTGATTGCTTGCCTAGATAATGCCTAGATAATGTCTATAGCAGGAGATGAACCGCTGAAATCAAGCTCATGGAAAAACCCCAAAAGCTAAGTCAATGACTCTAAAAACCCAGATAATAAACAGTGACAAGAGAAACATCCCCAAAACATAATTTGAAATTCAGTACTAAAACGTAGATCACCATGAACTGTCTGTTGAATAAAATAAGTAAAATAATAATAAATCAGATTTAAAAAATAAAATCACCTAATATCCCCATGAACAGCCTGAGGATAATTCCTTGTACTGCTCAGGTTTGTTGTAACTCTGTGAGTTAGAGAAGTAAATCTTAACTCATTCAACCTCCAGTTCATTTTCTTTTTTGGAAAGAAAGATGCCAAAAGGAAGATACTATCACACATTCTAAGAATGCAGTGCCTGAAAGGTAATATTCAATTGTTCTGAATGATCAGACCCTTCAACAAAACCTTTCATTCTTGTGTGTGTGTGTGTGTGTGTGTGTGTGTGTGTGTGTGTGTGTTTGTATATAGTACAATTTCTCACTATTAGTGGCCAGTGTATACAGATTTAACATGATAGTCTTTGGAATAGTTTTGTGTTTCTTGCTTTCAAGAACAAACTGAATTTTTGGTTATAACATCTCAAATAGCTAATTGACTTTAGTTAGTAAGCTGCTCAGGAAGACTTTGAAAACAGAAACACAGAAACTCTCATCAGCACATATGTCCCTGCACAAAAGCTAGAGCTGTATTTTTAGTTGATTGCAAATGATATACTATATACTGTCAATCCTGTGCAGGTATAAAACATGTAGGAATCTTGAATATTTGGGTACAATGTCCATTCAACCTACGAAATGTGAATAGCAAAAGGTGATTTAGTGTGCTAAGCCTCTCATTCTGAGGTGGGAGCCTGCCTGCCCGGCTGCTGCTCACAAACAAAATTGCAGGGCGGATCTCCTTCCTTTGGGACTTGCTCTTTGCATAGTAAAAGCAATGGCACATGATTTGCATAAATCTTTGCATATGTGCCTTTCTGAATCTTTACAGGATCGCTACATGTCTTTGGGGGAATAAAATCCAGGATCCTTTGACTATGCTTGTGTATCTTCAGCTCAACATATTTAATGTGCAAAAGTAAACAAAGCAGGAATGAGTATTTAGTCTGGTGGCCTATTTCCTTGTTGTATGAATATTCAAAACCCCACCTGTTCAAACTTTACACATAATCCCTGAAGAGCAATTGTGACAGCTTGACCAACTAGTTTTGTTCCAGCATTTTATGATTAAAGACACCCTGACACCCTACAACGTGCAGTGTAATACACATTTGTTGTCACAGGCAAACAGTTGTGTTTATAAGAAGAATATAGTTTGACAGTCTGCTAAATACTTTTTGCTACAGATATGTGAACAGAAGTGGTGTGTAAATCATCTTTTTCCTTGAGCCAGTCAATGTTCAAGAATTTTAGGGTGTTAGTAGAATAGCTAAAAGATATGGAACATATTTAGGTATATTTAGTATTTTTATTATCAGAATTGAAACTTTTTCTCTGCTTCCAAGAGCACTTGTCTTTATTCCCTGGGTAGCAAGTCACTCTGAATATCCCCATCTCAGCAGCTGTTACTTAATGGCCCTAAAGAGTTGAGTGCTGCTCATTTTGACCATAGATCAGTGTGTCTACAAAGTGGGCCTTCAATTAGCCTTGATGGATTGACTTTCTCACAGGCAGTAAAAGCTCAATTCATAGAGATGAATCCTATGAGACTAAAAATTTGTAAGGTAAGATACCAGACCTAGAATTTTACATTTGTAGCTATGAAACATGTATAAACATGTATAAATATATTCTTTGTTTCAGTTTTTAAATGTTTTCTAATTTATTGAAATATTAAGAGATTCTCAATATTTGTGTAAAATAGGAAAAATTTAATTTGAATAGCATCTTACATACTTCTGAGGCATAGGAGTGATTATAAAGAATCTGAAAAACAAAGTATCTGAAGATAAAATGGTAGTGTTATAATAAATAAAAATAATAATAATAAATAGAATACCAATGATAAATATTTCCTGTTGGTGAAAAACATTTCACTTGAATTGCCTATCATAGACTGTGTTGAATGTAAAGATTTTAAATGTTTTTCTTGTGTTTTGTGCTACACTTTAAGGCAGGTAAGAATGATTTTGAAGGTGAACCAGATGTGACCACTTAATTTGAAAGCATAATGAGTTTCCTCCTCAGGCTCCATTGGAGTTGCCTGGTTTTCCTTCTTGATCAGGTGACAGATGGAAAAGATCCCTTCAGTCAAAGCAGAATTGGGGGTTCAGGGCATAGGCTGCTGCCTGCTGGAGCAAGCCCTCCTCTTAAGGGCTATAGACATACCACAGCTGTGCTCCGTGCTTGAAAAGTTGGAGCAATCAACTGACCAGCATCTACCTTCAAAAGATGGGAAGTGGAATTAGTTCAGAGAGCAAGGAGTCAGCCAAAAGGTCAAAAGAACTGGAGAAGAAGCTTCAGGAAGATGCTGAACGAGAGGCAAGAACTGTTAAGCTGCTGCTGCTAGGTAACGTTTCTCTTTTGCTCTCAGCATCTGATTATTTTCTTATGACATGTATTTACTTTTCTCACATTTTAATTTAAAGAGTGTAGCTTCATGGAAGATTTCGTATGAAAATATGTGTGAAATCCTAAGTGGACAGATTTTTATCTGTAGTCTATATGTATTTCACAATTTGTTTTGTGCTCCGTACTTATTACAATGTATATGAAATAAATATTAGATGCCTCAGTTTACCTCTTTCAAGGACTACATAATATCAGCACTAAAAGAAGGTTCATATGCATTTGTTACTTTGTTGCATTCTAATGTTTCCCAAATAACAGCTAAAATCCTTAATGATAAATTATAAATGTCTCCTATTTGCTTATACATAAATAGCTGAGTGTTGACATCAAATTCCATGTGCAAAAATCAATTAATCTGGAGCTTTATGTAAATAATGACAATGTGCTTAAAATTATATCAAGAATTCTATTAAGACTCCAGGAGCAATAGTACCTTTAATAATGCTGTACACTTAAAAATATGACATTCAGTTCCTTATAGAATAATTACATATTCACCCATACCACAAATTATCTCTCTACTTTTTATCCATTCAAAACAAAGGACAATGTTTTATGATTACTATAATTTCAATAATTGCTCAATTAACTAAATGAATTAAAATAATCTGGGTGCCACATATTTTTCATAAACTGCTTAACATAAAATGGTCAGTGACATGAAACAATAGAATTTATAACTACTTGTGGGAGGAAGAAGGTGGCAGAATTGGGCATAGTAATTCTTTTTCATTCAGCATCATGTGAGATTCAAGGGAAATTGGACTATGGAGTTTTGGAGAAGAAAGCAGAAAAAAAGGTACAATTTAAGACATTAAAACCCATGATATTTTTAGTTCAAACATATGGCAATATATATTAAGTAAATATATTGTGTAATTTAGGGAATGCCCCAGTAAGAGACATTCATGGATTCAGTCTTCTATTTTGCTTGAGTGTGTTTCCAGGCTACCTAGGCCCAACTAGTCACCCAATTAGTTTTGGTTTTGAAACTTTAACCTTGTGTTAAAATATTGAATAAATGATTCCCCAAATCAGTAAAAATCTAAATCAATACAGAAACAAACAAAAATAAGAGCTTTGACTTATTGACACTGTGTATTTACCCAATGCTAGTTTTATGCAAAAATAAAGTCATTATTTTAGGTTCATGAATCTATCATGCAACCAATTTCCTCATTTTTAAGTGTTCTTTAAGTATGCTCACACTACTGAGTTTTAAAGTTAACTCTGTTACTCAAGGAAAGGGACATGTTCTTTCCTTCTTTGTACTCAGATAATCACCTAGAGATTAACGATCTAGGAAGGTAATGGGTTAGTGCTTTTAAATCATCAAATGTACTTTCCATAGTTCCAGAGAACTGTCATGGTCTCTACACTGGAGTCGAAGTTAGATGGACAAGACAAAGGTAAATAAAATGTAGAAGGAAAAGTCAGGCAATGCCACAAGTGCCTTTTATATTCTATTGCGCTGGCACATGGTGCTAATGCATTGAGCATTCGCATACATGCAATCCCTGTGGTCTGTGTCTTGATTCTGAATACAACTGATCAACTTCTTTAAGTGCCTGCCTCTTTGACTTCCTCACAATGGCAGAGTATACCTTGAGTTGAGTCAGAATAAACCCTATCTCCCTTTAAAAATGAATAAATAAATAAAAGACAAGAGTAAATGGAGAGATAAATTTCCCAAAGAACTGATAAATGTTTTTGACATGACATTTTAAAAATATTTTCTCTTAGTTTATAAAAACACAAACTGTAAGCCAAATCTCTGAAATGGCTATATTACCAATTTCAATGACAATACTGTTAAACAACCACAAAGCTATGATGCTTGAGGTCTGTGTGAACTGGACTACTGGACGTGGGATTGGGATGAGAAAGAACACAGTAAATAATATGAAGAAATGACTGAAAATGTGTCATTGACAATAAAACTCCAAAAACAGGTAATAAAGAAAATTGAGTTTTCCCAAATTATGAATTGAGAGCTCACAGATTACTGCTATGCACTGGCCTCTATAACCAGAAAAGCGGAACAGTACAGAGAGCTAGTCATCGTGTCACAACTTGTTTTGTGTAAAGCTCTCAGGTGGAAATGAAAATAACAGATGTTACACTTAAGTGGTGGGTTTCATCAAGTTGAAAGAATAACTTTTATTAACAGGGAAGAGAAAGAATCATTAACAGTAATAGCATGTCTTTAGTTTATCCAAGATAACGATAGTTTCATATATTCATTCTCATACCACTACATTATTGGCCCCAACAATAAGTAGGCTGAGCTAATAATGAAATAAATTTTTATTTAATCTAATAAAATAGTAAAATAAATCACACTCTTCAGTTTTCCCTGTTTTGATTATATTTGAAGCATTAGATCATTTTTTTCCCTTTTCAACTTTGAACTCTAAATTTGATTTAGTTGTCAGTTCAAAACAATAAAATCTGTTTCATTCTCATTTTTAACTGAGCTTGAGTTATCTACACTGTATTTTTCATCTTAAACTTGGTTTCATTAAGGTACCATACAATGTCTTAAAGAAATAAACTTCGCCCTCCTATTCCTTCGCCCTCAAAATGACTTGGGGCTCTCATTGAAAACACCTCCATAGTCGTTAGTGGACTCTGAACAATGGTCTTATGATGACATGATGAGCCTGATTCTGTTAATGACCAATTCTGAATTTAACTCAGTACTTACAAAGAGAGAGAGAGAAATCTACAAAACAAACAAAACATGGTGCAATCCATTTTACTTTCATCTTCCTGTCTAGTGAATTTCTGGGTGGCACAACTTAGAACACTAAGTTTTCCATCATGTTCTGTGAAGTAGATGTGTTAATAGAAATAGATCTCAGTGATTCTAAGGGGCTGATCCCCTCTACAAGTTCACTGCCCCTGTTTAGGTTTTTTTTTTTTTTTCCTTAGTTGACAGTCACTTCTTTCTACTGAAAATAGATTCTTTTCTCATACAAAATATCCTGATTAGAGTTTTCCCTTCGTCCCCTCCTCCCAGCCCCTCCCCACCATCCGTGGCCTCAGTATCCACTCCGTTTCTTTCTCTCACTAGAAAAAAATACTTCTAAGGGATAACAACCAAACATTACGAAATAAAATATAATGAGATGAAGCACAAAACTACCCCTTCTATCAAAATTGGACATAGCCACCCAACAGGAGGAATAAAATCCCAGCAGCAGGCACAAGAGTCAGAGACCCACTCATTCTCGCAGTCATGATTTCTATAAAAATACTAAACTAATGGTGCAGCCCCTTGTAGGCCCTGTGCTTGCTCTGTTGCAGTCTCTGAAGGTTCGTATGCACCTTGCTTAGTTGAGTTAGAGGGCCTTGTCCTAATTGTGTCCTCCATACCCTCTGCTTCTTGCAATCTTTCCACTTCCTCTTCCATAGGATTCCCTGAGCTCTGATGTGGTGTGTGTGTGGTGGGGGGAGATCTGATGGAAACATCCCATTTAGAGCTATGTGTTTCAAGGTCTGTCGCTCTGCATAATTTCAAACTGTGCATCTCTGTATTTGTTCCTATCTGCTACCAGAAGAACTCCCTCTGATGATGACTGGCTAAGCACTAATCAATGTATATAGCAGAATATCATTAGGGGTCATTTTATTAATTTTCCTTGGCCAGTCATGTTTGATTTTACACTAGGTCTCTGGACTGTCTAGTATTTGGTTCTTAGTTACTCAGAAACTGTTGGGTATCGGTTCTTTCTCATAGAGCGTTACATCATATCAGACATTTGTTGCCTATTCCCACAAGTTCTGTGCTGCAATTTCCCTATTGCAGGCAGGACAGATTGTAGGTTAAAGGCGTTGGGGGCTGGGTTGGTCTCCACATTTCTCTTTTGGTAGCCTGAACAGTACCGTCTCATGCCAAACAGACTAGCATGTTCTATGTAGGCACTAGGTTGACTTGGCAATAGGGCCACACTGTCAGTTTGCAGAGAACAACCCTTTGTCACAGCAAATTCCTGGGTTGCTTGTTGCCTGGTAATTTCCACAGGACTCCTTTGGCCCACAACTCAATTGAATGTAATCCGTTCTCCCCATTGGAAGCCTCTTCTCGTTACAGGGCGTGGCCAGTTGAGACTCTAGCCCTCATTGCTAGATCCTAGGATCACCTTTAAATATTGCATGAAGTATTCACTTCACTAGGTTCATCCCTCAAACGCCCTCTAATTCTAGGCATCTCTCCCTGTATTTTGTCCCTCAAACCCATTCCCCAACCTGATCCCCCCGAATCACACTTCTATACCCATTTGTCCCAAGTCCACCCATAAAATATTTTCTATTTCCACATCCCAGGGAGATCCATGTGCCCATCTATAGGCACATTCTCTCAACCTGTCCTCTCTGGGTGTATGGTTTGTAACTTTGTTTTACTTTGCTTAGTGGCTAATATCCCCTCACAAGTGAATACCTATCATATTTATTTTTCTGTGTTACCTTACTTGAGATGAATTTTTCTAATTCCATCCATTTGCCTGCAATTTTCATGTTGTGAGTTTGGGAATCTCAAAACACTTGATAAACATTTTAAGAAAAAATGTTCAACATCCTTATCCATTAGGGAAATCCAAATCAAAACAGATTTGTGATTCCATCTCATGCTTGTCAGATGGCTAAGATCAAAAACACATGTGACATCTCATGATGACAAGGATGTGGAAGAAGAGGACCACTCCTCCACAACTGGTGGGGCTGCAAACCACGAGGTACAACCACTATGGAAATCAGTATGATGATTCCTTCAGAAGTTGGGAAAAGATTTACCTCAAGACCCAGCTATAAAAATCTTAGGCATGTTCATGGATTGACAGGAGGCTAACAAAACTGTCCTCTGAGAGGCTTCACCCAGCAGCTGATGGAAACAGATACAGAGACCAACAGCCAAACCTTAGTTGGAGCTCGGGG